CCCCATGGCTTACCGACGGGGCATCCAGTTACTATCACGCCGTGCGACGGCTCTCATCTCCCTCAAATCGACACCTCCTATCTCCGTCTTCAAAACCCTAATATCAAATCCCCATCTCACAAAACTCATTCCCAGTTTGGATCGGTCCCAGTTCACCCTCTGGCCCCAAGCTCGCTGCCTCTCGTCGAGCAAAGACGATGATGGCAGTGAAGACGATGACGAAGATGAAATAGAAGCAACCAGTGACGGAGAGGGGAATGCAACGCTGGAGTCGACGAGGGAGTAGTACTCGCGAAGGAGAAGGAAGCAGAGGCAGCTGCTATCGGGTACACAGTCGTGGGTCCGCTCCAGCGATCTGATCGGGTCTTTAAACAGTACGATCCACTTTTCGCGGTGGTTCAGGTTTTTATTTATGAGTTTGTTTCAATGTTTTCGTGTTAACAAGCAAAAATGCTGAAAATATTGGCATCTGGGGTTTTTGTTTTTATGCAGTTTTGTGGGTTTTATTGGTGTAGATTGGGTCGGATCAGTTTAAAGTCAGCAATGGGGATTGTATTTTTACGGATAGGTTGTAATTTTGCGAAGTAAATGACAAGGTAAGGATTAATGGTGTTTGAATTAGACGAATTTAAGGTGCTATTTCTGGTTTTTCTGTTTTGTTTCTGTTATGTTGCGCTTAGCTTCATATTTGTGATTGGAATTTGATTTCATCTTGCAACACCTCAGTTAAATTCAGTAGCTTTTTAGATTCTTATGCTAATGTACTTATATTTTCAAGCATCTCCATGTTTTTTACTTTTTATTGGAGAATTCTGGAGCTGATTTTGAATCTCATATATAGCATCCTCTTGCTGAAAAGGGGAACTCTTGAGTCATGATTTTTCAGTTTGAGTTATGTGCCATACTACTTTAGTAGTTTCTCTTATTTTAGGTCAACTCTGTCTGTCAGTGGAACTTGGAAGTCCCAAAAAATATAAAATCTTACTAGTTTAGTAGTTTCTTTATGTGTTCTGAGCTTGAGAGCAGTAGAGGTTCCTCCTCTTCTTCTGGAATCGTGCCCATCTGTCAGTCACTGGGTTGTGTTGAACTCCCTGAGTAGGGGCAGACCAGAGGAGGCAGGGGATGGGCTACACCCAGAGTAGAAATTAGAAAATCTCACACAATCAGGCTCAATACAACTTGATTTGGAGAGTTAGTTGGCCCCCACTTTTTTGGTTCCCTATAAAATGGTTTTCATAGGGATGCACGTTGCAAAATCAAATTTGAGCAAATAAGCTTCTACACTGACTGACAGTTGATGAAGTCTCACCATTTATGTACCTTTCATGTTACCAGTCAAACCATTTTTTTTGCTGGATCAAATTGAGTCACCTAACTTACCTGTAAATTCCATAAGCTTATGATTCATTTTCATTTGACCAAATGCAAAGCCATTGGCTAAAACTGAGTGCTTTGACCATGTTCATCTCTGTTACTGTTAGCCAACTGCAGGCTAACTGGCAGCAGATTTATGGTGTATATGTTTCTGTTCCAACCGATCCTAATGGCTGGTAGAGAATGCATCTTTTGGAGTTATGTTGCATTGACGTTGTTAAAACTTATTACTTTAGTTTCTATTTTCAGTTTCCTCTGCTGAATTTTAATTGGTTTTGTAGGTTAATGTGCCTCAGACAAAAGCTTCATATCTTCTCAATTTATTGATTTCTGAGTTAGCTTCTTTGACTTTTTATTGCAGTTGATTTTGAATAAGGTTCTCCTGCTTGGCTCAGCTACTCAAACAATTGTTGGTAGGCCGATTGTGCCACATGCAGCTGTTTGTGCAGTTGTTGAGGAGCATGTAAGTGTCTTACCTGATTTTCATCATTATCTGTCTCCATAACCCATTTGTGGTTTGGTCATGTTAACTAATAGAAGTTTTGTCAGTTTCATCACATTTCCTGAAAGCTGACTCTTTTTTAGAAAGAACTAAATATTTCTAAATGTGAATGCTCTTTTTTTATGCTAAATGATGTGATGGATTTCTTATTTATAGAGGGGAGGGGTGGAAATTTTGAATTTCAGGGAAGAAAAAAGAAAAAAAAAAAAGTGTATGGTTTTTTTATTCCTATGCTCTGTTGTTGTTCTTAGTTTATTGGAGTAATTTAATTATCATAATTCTTTTGTTTTCTGACAGGCATTAGATGCAAAGGTAATTATTTTCAAGAAAAAGAGAAGGAAAAATTACAGGCGAATTAAGGGACATCGCCAGGTATGCCAAAGAACTTATGTTTAAACTGTTGTGTCTTGCCTGGTCAAACTTAAGTTCAATCATCAATCATCATTATTTCTCTTGTATTCTGCCAGGAACTGACCAAGTTGAGGATAACTGATATACAAGGAATTGAAAAACCAGAACCAAATGCTGAAGGAAAGCCTTTAAAGTTGGCTACTGAGAAGCCAGAGAAGCTCATGGCTGCTGCTTAGGAAGGGATGTCACCAGGGCTGTTTATTGTAACAAATGGCTCTCCATGATTCAATGTATACTTGTGATGTCCATTGAGGCCGAATTTTACTAGCCAAGTAGGCCCTGGTTGTGGGGATGGTTTGGTTGAATCATGCTTTGCTCTTCCAAGAACTGAGGTCAAATTTTGTGTTTTTGCATTTCTTGTTCATTTATTTGTATTTGGTAACCTAGATGGTGGGATTTCACTTAACACACTCCTTCCCAAGTACAGTTTTTTCCTAGTTCAGACCAAGTTGCAGGTTGTAGCAGTTCATTGGAAATTAAATTTAATAAAGCTTTCTCAACCAGTAATTCCACATGGTGAATGGTATGCGTATGTAGAAGCTAGAAATTAATGACTGTTGTTAGGTTGGTTTACTGGATGGCTGGTGTTAAACATGTTCCTAGTTGAAAATTTGGACCCAATCCCAATACCTCTAGAATATCTCCAGCAAGGTAAACAGTTCCTAAAGACCGTAAAGTCCTTATCTTCTAAGTTTCAAAAGAAAGTGGGATGGTGCATGTCTAACGAATCTCAATCGCACAGCTGTCTTATGCTTTATCTTCTATGTTCTTCCAAAGGGCACAGGAAACCTGGTCCACATTACTCAATGGAGAAAAAGGTCTGGTGCATTCGTCGGTTCCTTTGCAATCTTTTAGTTCGTTAAATGAAGTTTCTCAAATATCTTTTCAACAGTTATTTGAATAAAGATTGGATAAGCTTTGGCAAAGAGAAACTATTTAGGAGGCAGCTGGACCTGATCAAAAAAAGCAAGAAACTACCAGTTGGCTGAACAAAAGGTGAGAATGAAAACAGAAGTGCTTATTTATTTATTATTTTATCTAGGCTCTGTTTCTGTATCTTCTTAGTAGTTCAAGGTGACTATTATATGATATTAATTTTTTTTTCTTTTTGGTGAATATCGTCTTCCATCAACAAAGTGCTTCCAAATGGAACCGCTTTCTTTGCCAACTAACAGCCCCACTTCCATACATACAAAACTAGTATAATTAAAAGACAGGGCTGGGCATTTTCTAAGAAAGCATTTTGGTGTGTTCCACTGCTCCCACTTTCGTTTTAAATATGATTATGCTAATGGAATTCATTGTCACAACAGTTTCCCCACTTCACCTCACTTAACAATATCCAAGAAAACTTCATACACAAATTCCCATATCCAATGACTTTTTTGGGATAAATCATCTGCGTATAGTTTAAGTATACGCAAGTGTAATCATCTTGCTACATACTTGTTACTGACAATTTCAACTAGGATCGATCTGTCCACCTTTTTCTGTAGATGGAATTTGATATTTTTAGCCTCCTTCTTCCTATAGTTACATCCACTAGTAGTGTATCATACGTTTAAATCTGGTCCAGCCTGAGTTTTAAGGAGAGAATCTGGAATGTGATATTTGACTTAATCTATGCTTTTGAACCTGCTGAAAGAGCAGAAAAACTCTCTGAATCCCACAGAGAGTTCAATGACAGGCTTTTATCTGGAAAGATTTTCTTACCCTAGTTTGAAATTTGTTATTCGAATGTGCACAAATGGAATATGCACCAGACATTTTCCTCAAAATAATTCACATGAAGAGGTTTTTGTGTTTACGAATTGTAGTCTAGGTTCTTAACCTACCATATGAGCTTGTTAAGTGGTTTATGATGCAACAGAAAGGGTTAAATTATCTGAAGTATTCAAAAGTTGTGTGCCAACCTCCTCAATTTATTAGTCAAAAGTTGAGACTAGATAGGATGAAAATTGTTTGCTTGCTGCTTTCCTCATTATATCAGTTAGCGCAGGTTTAGTTTATCCAAGTCCTCACCATCTTCAAGGTTTAACTAAACTAAAATGGGTTGGGGAGAGAGAACGGTTTGCAGACTTTGAAGTCAGATGATCGTGTATTGGTGGTAGTACTCCACGTGTCCGGACCACTTTCTCAATTGCAGACGTATCAGTAGCCCATCAATGGCATAATAATAAGTCCTTTGTAAGGGGGCTAAATCCATGAGGTTAGGTTGGTTGTGGTATCGCCATTCCTTACCTTGAGATTAAACTAAAGTCAAAGTCTGGTTCCTTAAAACACACTGAATGATGATTCGACTGAATACGGATCCCCCGACCATGTCGAAAGTTCTTTCCTGGGTCCCAGATGTTCCTCATCTGGCTGGGGAATGGGTCCAAAGAATTTCCATCAGACACCAAAATTTTCGAATTGAGTGAACTCGGGACTGACGGAAAAAAAGTCCGTGGATCGTTAAGGAGATTAAAGCGATCGTAATCGTATTCATTTGGCAACACCAGCCGCCTCATGTACGACGGACGAACTGGAAATGAATCCGCTCTGGTGATAACGGACATATATTGTTTAGCTACACAAGAGGACGTAAGATTTCGCCACTAATATTTATTAGCATTATGACAAACACAATAAGAAAATTGTGGTTGTTGAAATCACTCTCAAATCTTCTCTCTCTTCTCTCTCTCTTCTCTAGAATTCTTCAGACTCTGCCTTACAACTTCTCCAGTTCTCATCTGCTTTGGGTGCTCAGAAGCCTCCGGGCTTCTAGAGCTTTTGATGCTTGAGCAGCCGGCGGGCTTCTCAAGTATGGTGGAGCCGGTTCACTATGCTCCTATGTCCGGTGACCACTTTAGATGGTCTGTCGGTTTTTTTGTGGCCTTGTTGATGACCTTTGCTCTCTTTTCCTTTTGTTTCTAGTTTGTTTTTTTTTTTTTTTTTCGATTTTCTCATATTTGGTGGCTAACAAACCAATCACGGAGAATTTAGGAGATGGTCATCGTTTGCTTTACTGGTCCAACCACGACATCCTGGAGAACATGCGTAATCTGTGCGAGAGTAGATGGAAAGGTATCCAGATCTTTGGAATGGTCGACTAAAAGAATTTGTCAATCTGGTTTCTTTAACGGTAATTAGTGTGAAATGCTCACTGCTCTTCTTTATCTGTTTTATGTTGAACTTGACTTACTTTTCATTTTTTCTCTCTAGTTATGCTTAATCTGTTTATAATTTTGTCAATGTCATATGAATTTCTTTATAGATACCGTATGGCTTTGATAAAATGATATACTTTGATAAAATGATATACTTTTCACTGAGTTCAAAAATAAAAAAGAAAAAGAAAATTGTGGTTGTTGAAAGAGTTATTCCTTTTCAAAGTCAGCCCTAATGATTGGGATCGGACATTCTATTGTGTTCACCACGTCTTGAAGACAATCGTAAAAGTGAGCTATCTTAATCTTTTCTTTACCAGAATAGATTGCCTCAGCAGCTCCACCTTGCTCTCCTTGAGCTGCCATCTCAATCAACATGTAAACCTTCTTGATAGGTATCTGCAAAACAGTTTGAATACAATGGAATTTAGTTTTGATGATAACAATGAAAACAGCATACAAAACCATGATTAAAGACTCACATCGTTCAGGGCCTCAGCGGCTGCATCTATATCTTCCCCAGCAAATACATTCAATTGTTCTAACACCTGTTAAGGGAAGTAGTTATGACGAATTTAAGTTCGTGGTAAATAAGCACACAATCTATTTTCTAGAACTGTGAAGAAATCACACTCAGAAACAGAACATGCTGTTAAAAAAAAATCATTCAGAACACAACAATCCTGCCATCAGAACTGTGAAGAAATATGGATGAATTATCTTTGGATTAAACCTCGCATGTTGTTACAGGACTGTAAAAAGTAAATTTATTACTGAAAACCTCGGTTTAAAATTTTTTCATAATTTTCATAACCTTTGATCTTACACTGGAGAAAGTGGTTATCATTGAAATTTAAAAACTGCTGAATTAGGCGAATGATTTTTCTTAGCCAGTTACTGTTCATATCATTTCAGCATGCAGGAGCCCTGCTCTGGGTTAGTTATTATCAAAGCTTGTTCTTTATAAATTCCTCCACGGAACCTATTTTCCGAATTAAGTGCAGAAATGACATTGACTAGTTAAACAAGGCGTATAAGTATGTAACTGAGAATAGGTAGTGGCAACAGCAGTTCTTACCTTCTTTACATCATCTGTCTTCAATTTAGGAACCTGATAGGAGACACAGAAAGCATCACAAATGCCAACTGATTCTAAGAAACTCATTTCACTGGTTGTTCCTAACACAAGAAGTTTCTTCCCCTGAAAATGAAGTTTTAAAATTTA